TGGAAATCAAGATGCCTAAATGCATGGCAAATGCCTCCTTTTATAGGCCAAAATTAGGAACTATGAATTTGATGACTAATTGATGAGTGGGTGGCCAACTCTTGACTTGGTGACAATCCTTATCTTCTGTTGTCTGCCCAAAACATCATTGATAACGTCAGAATTGGAACACTTGGAAAAGTAAAAGTTCTAGAAAATTGTCTTAACTTTCCAGGAACAAAAATTGAGGTCATTTGGACTTCTAAAACTCCAGATATGGGCCAAACACTGAACAATGTTTGGGCTGCAGGACAGATTCAAACTTTTTCATTGTTGTTATAATTTGGACTTGAAAATAGCATTTTTAAATCTTGGGCTCTATGAAAGTTGTAGGCCTATATCTTACCTTTCCATCCATATAAAGTAGACCTAAATCTGATATCTACAGCTCTAGATATGACCCAATTATAGAACAATGTTCTGCTCTAGACTGCACTAGCGTCTCTTTTTTAAGTTTGACCATTTCTTTGTCTTTTCAATTTCAGAATTTAAACTTATCAATCAATCCTTTTATTTATGTGATAGGCCTGCATTTAAGATGAACATTTACCATAAATTAAAGGTACATTATATTATTAGATATGTTATTATAAAATATAGTTTTGTTAAGGAGTTATTGATACTTCAAGTGCAAAATGATAATATAAAACCTCGATAAAAATGCACTTTCAAGTACTAATCACTAGGCTTGTGATGTTTGTTTTTCTTCAATCTATACAGATGATTAGAAAACAAATGATTAATGAAGCCTATCAGTTGTTCTATATATATATATCTCTTTTTGTTAAATCCGGTTGTTCTATATATATATATATATCTCTTTTTGTTAAATCTCATTTAGTAAAATACTTTTCACATCCATTTTGTTACATTTCAAAATTGTTTTCTTATATTTAATACCCACATCAAATAATGAAGTTTGAATAAGTTGCCCTAAGAATTTTTTTATCTTTATCATAATTACAGCAAATTTTCATTTGTATTTAATCTATATCAAGTTATCGACTCTATTCAAATTTTATTCCTTTAACTATTTCGATACATCATCACAAACACAATAATTATGGTCTCACTTTTTTTCGATATTTCAATACATATATTTATATATCGCAGCCTTATTCATATAATTTCATCAATCACATTAAATACAAATTTAATGTTTCAAACCATACTTATATATATTAATGAGAAAAAATATTTAGAGGTGATGATACCAACAATGTTCCTAGGGATAAGCATCCTATTACATTGTAGTTTCTATTATCATTATCATACATTTCAAGTTCTAAACATAACATAAATTTACAACCAAAAACCTAGTTCTTCCTACATATTATCCTACTATATTAAAACAAATTTATATTACATAACAAAAGATGGTCAACAACAAGTTTACTCCATATAAGATGCATTTGTAATGCAAATGCAACATTTAGATTAGTAAGAATTGCAAGTTAAATAATCAAAAAGAAAATTAATTGTTTCAATCATGTCGTGAATTATACAACAACTTATATACAAGCACAACTTCTTTTAATAATATACTTTATACCAATATGTAAATTCAATTACTCAATAATCCTTTTATATCTGGTCATGAATTTCCTGATGCCACTATTTACCCCACTAGGAGTTTTGTCAAGTTTAATTCTCAATCATCAGGAAATCTAACGCCACTAATTCTATCATTTAGATCAATTAGAATTATATCCCGGTTATCAACAAATTGATACCACTAATTCTAGCTTTTGAATTAGTCACATCAATGTTTCAATCATTGACATATCAACGCCACTAATTCTAGCTTCCCAATTAGTCATACCAATATCTTAGTTGTCAATAATTTGACACCAATAATTTCTTTTCAAAATTAGTAAAAAAAATACACCTCATCAATCGAACTAATGCCATTAAATTTCTTTCTTAGAATTTAGTCCATTTTATTTCCCGATCATTGAATGAATCAATGCCATTAATTTATATTATTTTAGAAATTAGTCAACCCAGATTCCTCATTATTATCTCCTATTTGTCTACAATTCTTAACAACTCAAAGATTGACTACCATTCAAATGAAGAAAATGAAATTACTTGTAACTTAAATGCTAGTTCACCTACTATGGTTTGTTGATGAGTATCTGCACCTATGCTGTCGCAGGGCGTGAGATTACCGACGTCGTCTGGCGATGGTGGAGGATTTTGTCGTGCCTCTTGTATGAGGTGTTATATGTTGGAAAGGATTTTGGATTTAAATATAAAATTATGATTAATGTTTAGTGATTAGTACTTAAAAGTGCATTTTTATCATGGTTTTATATCATCATTTTGCACTTGAAGTATCAATAACTCCTTAACCAAAGCATGTTTTATAATAATATATCTAATAACCTAAGATACCTTTAATTTGTGGTAAATATTCAGTTTAAATGCAGGTCGATCACATAAATGAAAGGATTTATTGATGA